TCTGCAGTGGGAAGGCCCAAAGGACAGTGGTGGAAGCTCGAAAGTCTGTGCCAGCGGGATGAAGAATCTGTGCTAGCAGGCTGAAGGATCTGCACTGGAGCCAGGAAGCGACACTCAAGGTAAGGACCACAGCTCCCCCAAAGAGAACTGCAGCCATCCTCAGCAACAGTGAGGACCTGAGCTCCTCTGATGATGAGAACAGTTGAGTTCATATCAGGAAAACCAGCATGACAAGCTTCTCCAGGAGAACCAACAGCACAGCATCCGCCCCTCCAGTTCTCCTTTTATGCTATTGGCTACAATCCTCAGGTGGGCCTCCCACACGCAGCACCACACTAACTCAGTTCAGTGGGGTGTTTCAAGTTGACCATTAGTTAATGCACCACACTTATAAATCCAAATATCTTATTAAATCTGTTTCTCTAGTGAGCACTGACACAGACACATCAGAAAATGGAAATATATCCTTGTTCCTAGATAGGCAGCACCAACATTGTCAAAATGACCGTACTTTCAAAACTGATATAGATTTAATGTAATCCCAATCAAAATACCAACAGCACTCCTCACAGAACTAGAGAAAATAATACTAAAATGAGTATGGAACCAAAAGAGACCCAAAATAGCAAAAGCAGCCCCGGGCAACAAGAGAAAAGCAGGAGCCATCACATCCTGGACTGAAAGTTATATGACAGAGCTACAATGATTCAATACAACATGGTACTGGCACAAAAACAGACATGTGGGTCAGTGCAGCAGGACAGAAGATGCAGGAACAATCTCAGGCACATTCAGCTATTTGAAATTTGACAAAGGGGCCAAGAATACAATGGAGGAAAGATAACCTCTTTAACAAATAGTGCTGGGAAAACTATTCACATGCAGAAGAATCTAGATCTACGCATCTCACTATGTACTAAAGTAAAAAAGTAGATCGAACATCTAAATGTTAAAACAGAAACACTTAATCTGCTGAAAGATAAAATAGGTAAAACTCTTGAAGACATAGGCATAAGTGAGAACTTTCTGAACAGATTTCCACTTGCACAGGAAATAACATCAGGAATCAACAAATGGGGTCATAGCAAATTTAAAACTCTTGCACAGCAAAGGAAACAACCAACAAGTGAAGAGGCCGTCTGTAGAATGGATCAAGAATTTTGCCAGCTAGTCCTTAGACAGAGGACTAACATCTAGACTATTAAAAGAGCTCAAAAAAATTAAAGCCCCCCACAGTAAAAGACCCAATCCAACAACGAGCAACAGAATGTCTATTGACATTTCTCAGAAGAGGAAGTACAGCTGGCCAATAAATACAGTACATGAAAAAGTGATCAATTGCTAGCCATTAGAGAAATGCAAATTAAAACACTGAGATTCTCTCTTACTCCAGAAAGAATGACTGTCATCAAGAAATCAAATAATAAATACTGCTGAGGATGCGAGGAAAAAGGAATCCTTCTACACTGTTGGTGGGAATGTAAACTAGTACAAGCATTTGGAAATCGGTAGGGAGATTCCTCCAAAAACTAAAATAGAAATTCCATTTGATTCACCTGATATCTTTCCAAAAGAGTTAAAGACATGATATTACAATGATACATTCATACTCATGTTTTTGTATTTTAAAGAGAGAAAAAACAATAAAAACGATACAGAATTTCAAAACAAGATGATAGAAAATTAGCAATGGTTATTATATTGCACAGTTATCTTTAAAATAGTTGCTCAGATTACAAGATATAGGCATGCAAAATTGATCAAACAATAGAAGCACTAACTGTTCCTTTCAATGAACCAATAAAAATTAGTAGTATAATTATCTTAGCTACTGTGTGTGTGTATATACATATATATTTTTTTAATTTTCCCTTCCCTCTTTTCTCTTTTCCACCATCCCAGTTGTTCTTTCCTTTTGAGCAGTTTCTTTCCCATTCACAATAAAAAAGATGTGGTATTTTTATACAATGGCATACTACTCAGCTATAAAGAAAGATAAACTCGAGGCTTTTATAGGTAAATGGATGCAACTAGAGACCATACTCCTAAGTGAATAAATCAGACTCACATGTGTAAACATCGTATTGTCTCCCTAGTGTAAGAAACAGAAAGAGTAAATAAGATCCAAAACATACTCATGTTTATGAGAGCACAATTTACAATAGCTCTATCTTGGAAGCAGTCTATATGTTCATCAGCGGACGAATGGGTCAAAAACGTGTGGCGTTTGTACACAGTGGAGTACTACTCTGCCATAAGCAAGGGTAAATGAGTCATCTGTAGGAAAATGGATGCACCTAGGACTAACATTACTTGAAATAAATGAGGCACACTGGTTGGATGTCGCATGGTTCATCTTACGTGAGAAACCCAAAATCTAAATAAAGAGCAAAGTAAATGATAGGTAATAGGAAGTAGGGAGATGGATCTTTTGCAAAGGGGAGGAGCCCGAGAGACAGGGAGAAGGTGGAGATGGGAAGGGGTAGGTATGAATAAAGACTTAAGAAGCGTTATGCGCATGTACCAGCTCCCCATGGTGACTGTAGTAATTATGCATTGCAAACATGTGCTAACAAAAAAATTAAAAACAGATGGTATAGCCGATCACCCAAGTATCAACAGGAAAGAGGCAAGAGGGAGAAGAGTCTAGGGATGAGAAGAGAAGGGATCATGGATGTTCTTTTTTGGTGCAGGGAATTGACCTCATGACTTTGCACTTGCCAGGCAGGCGCTGTGCCACTGAACTATATCCCCTGCCCTAAACTAATGTTCTTAAGATGACAAAACCTGTAGGAGCCAGTGTACAGGCTGTGAAATTGGTCCTCACTGTAACAAAAGAGGAGGGGAGGGCCATGCACACTCTAATAGGAGGTTAAACTTGATAGCAGGAACTGGGGAGAGTTCTCACTGGGTGACCTGTAATTTATTTGTGGGAGTCAAGACCATTTACTGAGATGCAGAAGGAAGGGCTGGGGGAGTCAGGAGTGTGGAGAAGATTAAAAATGGCTGCCGTAGAGCATGAGAGGAAAAGAGGCTAAGAAGAGGGGCAGCAGGAGTAGCGGTTGTGGTGAGGATCCGCCAGGGGTGGCACCCAGGAATCTACGGTATCACCGGCGTGCACTACCCAGGGATCTTCGTTCCTACTCCCCAGCAGCCCTTCGGTTGTATCCATCCAGGGTAGATAGGTTTTGCCAGGCGTCTGAAGCAGAAGGTCAAAGACCAGGGAAATCAGAGAGACCAGCAAGAGAGTGGCTAGTGTAATGGACACAATGTTTACCATGGGGAGGAAAGGCCAGGAGAGCAGGCGGGGGCCGGAAGACGGGTTCAGTCAGCGTCAGTCCCTGTTCGCCAGTCACATATCTGTGGGCACCTCGTATGAGGGCAAAGTTCACATGAATTTTTTTTTTTCTATTCATCTAGCAGAGGACTTTGTTCATGGAATGGGTAGAGTATATTGTCTCAATGGGCAATGACTGAGTCAGTTTAAAAATGCTAATATTTTTATTTTAAAATCAAAATGATCAGTTATCTTTGACACATACAGTATACCCAGATCCATATGGAGTGCTTAAAGACTTAGACATAATATTTGCTTCTCAGAAAATGTTCTCTTTTCTCAGTTTGCATCAGTTATATTCAAATTGAATGAGGAGGATAAAATATCCTTGATGTACCATATGACAACGTGATTTTTTTTTTGAGACAAGTTCTTACTTTGTAGTGTAGGCTGGTCTTGAACTCACTCTGAAGCCCAAACTGGCCTTAAACCACAGTGATCCTTTTGCCTCAGCCTCCCAAGTGTTGGAATCACTTGTGTTTGCCATCACACCCGGCAACAATGTGATATTTTGAAAATACACAGTATTTTATTTCTTGGGGGGATTCAGTTAAGCATAATTACTTATAAATTTAATATTAATATCATAGGTTATATAAATTATATCCCAATTCATGTAATCATAAAACAATTAGATAATTGTCCTCAAAACATGAAATTTAGGTTAATTAATCTTTCTTCCAATGTTATTTTCCTATAAGGAACTGGGAATTGAATGTCATCTTGTGCAAGCAGTCCTACCCTGGCGTGGATGTGAGCCAGATGTCTTTTAACCCCATGAACTGGCACCAGCTGTGCTTGTCCAGCCCAAATACAGTGACTGTGTGGACCGTTGAAAGAAGTGACCAGGAGCATTATTTCAAAGCAAAGTAGGAGGCTTTGTTTCTGCCCAGTAATCAAGTGGTGGTCTTTGTTTCCATTTATGCAATGTGATTGGGCCAACTGGATGAATTAAATGTCTTTATGAACACATACACACACATACTTTTAAATTGTAATATCTTTCTACACAGATCATTACCTTGGAGTGGTTGTTTGCATTTCAAAAATATTCTTCTTGACTTGATTTCTCAATCAGTTTAAGAATCTAGTCTTCTAAGAGCTTTTTCAATGTGTCTTAATTTTGTAAATTTGCTTTGTCCTTACTACTTTAAAACATGGCTGTTGGATAAAAAGGGCATTTATGGCTTTCTGTTCCTCTTATTTTGATTCCCTACTGAAATCTCAAAAATAAGGACCGTTGTATATAGAAAGTGTACAGATTATGGTATATACTGAAACACATTATCCACAAACAACAGTCATTGCGCAGGGTGGAGTCGTGGGAGTAACCTGTTTAAAATGAAACGGGCCAGAGAGAAACTCCAGAACAAATTTTTGACAGTGGCAATCATCGATGAAATGGGTGCCTGTGCTGAGGATGAGCTCAGAGACGCCAGTGCCACCAGGCTGACATTTTCAGCTTACTGCATGAAGTCAAAACCAAGAGAGGTTGGGCAGGCCTACCCTCGAAATTGCAATTTTTGAGAAATCACCTCCAGTGAAATGTCAATCCAGAAAAACAAAAGCTTTCCAGCCGGAGAACCCTAAGAAAGGTACTTCTTTCAGAAAGAATCCATTTGAGTAGCCACCTACCTGCTCAGGGTTCACAACACCAGATCTTTAAACAAAGTGGTGGTGTCTCCATCAGCTCCTTGCCAGGATAGGCAGTGAATTTATCACACTCTTCCTTCCTTTGCTCCCCTGTATATATTAGCCTAGTTCTGAATGTTGACTTGTGCAGTTTTCCTATCAGCAAATAAACTGGGAGATGCGCCGAGTAGATTGTTCTGATTCACGGGAGCAGCAGGATTTGAGAACACTTACACTGTGTGTGTAAGTGGTAGGCATTCTGTTTAGGCAATCATTTTTCAGAATTATTTACCCGCCATAGAACATAGCCAAGAAAGTTTCAAATGTAGTGCATGAGGCCATGAATTCTCCAAATTTACCTTTACAACCCTATTGTGTGCTAAAAGTGAATTTGAAAATGAATTCTTGATGTCAGAAGTTTTAAAGGTAGCCGAATACAACCTGTATATGTTTATTTTAATCACACTGCTTTTTATTTGAAGTCATTTGTCAGTGTTTAAAATTTGAGATATTTCTCATAAATATCCAAATTGTGGCGTTCTCTTAAGATTTTGGAACCAAAATGGTCACATGCACTTTCCTACTGGTTACAGCAGGAAGACCTAACCCCGCAGTATTTATAATTCCTGCTTTAGAGATTAACATTGGAACATTTCGTTAACCAGTCCTTACATGCTTAAATTATAACCGCATATCTTGCCCTTCCCTGACATCCTCTAGTGCATGCTGTAAGCCACACTGTTTGTCTCTTCTGTGTTTTTAGATCGTAACACCTCCCACCTCAATGGTTAGTTTCCGTTAATCTTCTATTTCTGGGGTTTCTTTTTCCACAGGTCAGTGAAACTACCGCTGGAAGATGGGTCATTTTTAAAAGAAATAGATGTGCTGTTCCCCCAGTCGCTGCCCAAGGACCCCATCTACGGGCCGGTGCTGCCCCTGTCGGCCATTGCTGGGCTGGCAGGCGAAGAGGCCGAGACTTTCAGGGTAAAGACCTTGCTGGGCTAACGGGTGCAGTCTGGGGAGCGGGGTCTCAGCTTTCACGTCTAACCGTGCCAGACATGCAGGATGGGAAGATCGCGCTGGGTTTTCAGAGAGGAGAGCCGCAGACTGCAGGAGACAGACACTGGAGTTTGGAGTTTGGAGGGCTGGGAAGATGATGGCAGAAACGGGGGCACAGATGTGATTTCAACTTCGGACATACTGAAGATGCTGGGCAGAGGCCAGCGAGTGGCCCCAGTGTCAGGAGAGCGGGCGGGGCACAGGTGCTGGCGTCACTTGCAGAGAGTGCATGGGAGCCGGGAGTAGGTCCGATGAGCAGGCTGAAAGAGGAAGCAGGAGGAGGAAAGAGCGGGGAGGAAGCAGACTGCCAAAGCGGGAGGAGGAAGGGGCTCCTGGGGAGGCACAGTCCCAGAAGCAGGAGCAAAGGCAGGCGAGAGGGACCCAGGAAAGCATGGGGTGAAGCGTGGGAACGGGAGTTTGTGGACAGTTACACACCCGCTCGCTCCTTCTCCCCGGAGCTGTCCGTTGAGCTCCCGCCGCAGAGCTGACCCAGCTGAAGGCGGTGGGGACTGCGGCATGCTATTCCCGAGCTTACCCCCTGCCACACGACAGCGCTAACAGCAACACGAGTGTGGAGAGACATTAAACCGCAGCAGGTGTGACCATTTGGTAACAGAAGAAGTGGGGGTGAGAAGCGGGTGGCCAGGAAGGGATTTCCATCAAGAAAGGCCTCTGGAGCGCCGGGCCTGGTGGTGCACACTTGGAATCCCAGTGGCTCTGGGGGCTGAGGCAGGAGGGTCGCAAGTTCGAACCTGGCCGGGGCATCTTAGCCTTACACCCAGCCTCTAGGGAGATGACTCTGAAGCTGAGACTTGAAGCACAAGGAGTCTTTGCTGGTGTTACAAGCGGGGTAGTGTTTTAGGTGGAGGAACTGCAAGTGCAAAAGGCCTGGGGAGAAGGAGAATATGGCACGTTTGAGGGACCGAGAAAAGACCCGTCTGGATGGAGCACGATAAATGAGGTGCAAGGGGCTGCTCAAGAGAGAACAGGGCACAGAGAACATCTGCGCAAGGCCTTTGGGGTACAGAGAACGGGCATCAGTGCCCTGAGCCTCGGGGACCTGCGTGTGCTGACGATGGTGTCCAACAAGGCAGACTATGAAGAGGCCACCCGTCCCAAGCGTTTGAGTGTTAAAACTAATTCAGTGTGAGAGCTGTTTTATTAGAAAACCTCTGTGGTGAGCAAGAGAAAAGGCTCCGACTCTTCATATTTCCTCTAATGAGTAGCAATAATTCCCTTTTTAAAATTAGAGAAGAGACTAATTTCTAGCCCAAGCCTCAGCCTTGGGTAGCACCACACGGAGCCACAGGAGGGCAGCAAAGTAAAGGCAAATGGCTCGGATACCGAGGCTTCCACTGGTTTCTGTGTAGCAGTCGGGGTCCGCAACCCCCAAATTCAACGCTCACATCTTTTTTTTACTTTAGTAAATTTCTGGAGAAGACCTCCTCTTTCATAGTTTGCACCAGCATGATGAATCCAACATAAAACATTTACAATTCAAGCCCTGTCCTTGTCATTTGGAAAATGCTCGGAAACAACTGTAGAGTTACCACTTTGAAAAGCACATAATAAATACCTGTATTTTGTAGGACTTTTGAATTCAGCGCATTTTAGCCTTTTTATGGAAGCAGAAATTTAATGCTGTGATTTGGCAACTCTCAATCATACACAGAATATTAATGAAGGCTCTTTGCACTTAAGTTCTTTACCAAGAATCAAACTTAGGACATTGTGCTTACCAGACAGGCATTTAAGCCACTGAGCTATATCCTTGGCCCTGCATTTAAGTTCATAAGTAGTTTCCTTTTTCATTTTATAGCTGAACACAGTGAGGGAAATGGTTAAACACTGACACTTGTACAACAATGAAAACATAACCCAAACTAGATCTCAAATATCTTCACTTCATTCCTTTGTTTGAAGGACATTTCTTATATCCTAGACATCAAAGGAAACCAGTAATGATTTGATCTAAGTAAGAGTCTTAAAAATTGGCAAGCTGGGGACTTTTACACGATTACAAACATTAAATAATTCCATCATCTTTCTCATTGCTACTAGTACGTTATAGGCCTTTAAGCAGGTCTGCGTCACACTCTACACCTTATGTAGGACACTAGAAGCCTATTCTGTTGTTGCATGGGGAAAATCACAGGCAGATGTTATCTGGGCAGAAATTGGATCCAAGGTAATGAATTTAATCTCAAGTATTCAGTTTCCTTTTCCCATCTACACCTTTTTTTAAAAGACAAAAGTTGCTAAATACGAATCTCTTCTATAAACTCAGGTATTCCAAAACATAGTTTGGAAAAATATATCTTCTAAAACAGTAGTAAGAGGGACTCTAAAATGTTTAAAATCTTATAAGACTCAAAAGGAAAGTCATACTGACAATTATTTTAAGATGACACCTTTTTTTAAACTCTTAGAATTTTCATAAGTGAAAATTATATCTGTTCACATAATCCATATAATATCATACTTATTTTTAAATGACATCAAATGTATGTATGTATGTATGCATGCATGTATTTATTTTGGTACTGGGAACCAGATTCAGGGCCTTGCACTTGCCAGGCAGTTGCTGTGCCACTGAGCTATAACTCCAAATGTATTTATTAATGAAAAGAAGAACAAGCCCAAGTCTGTCTTTAAAAAAAACCCTGCATGTCAACTAGTTTAACATACGAAGGCACAGATTCATTGGCAGTAGGAGAACCAGGTTGGTGTGGGTCTTTTTTAAAAAGTTGGTTGAGCCTCTTGCCAACCAACTAAGAGTCTGTCTCTTAGTGATTTATCGCCTGATGCAGTGATGGTGAACCTAGGGCATTCGTGCTGCAGTGGGCGTGCAGAGCCCTCTCTGTTGGCCTGTGAGCCAAGTGTATGAGTTGTTTTTCCTAAACTAAAACTTCAGCATTGAGGTTTCATTGCAGTGTTGGTACTTTGTGATAAATAAGAGCTTTGGAGTTGCCATTTGGGCACTCGGTCTCTGAAAGGTTCGCCATCACTGATCTAATGGATAGATATAAAGACAACTCAAGAAACTGAAATAATGATGATTCCATGAATAACCTTCCCCAGTGCAAGTCAAATCTAAGACTTCACTAACTGGCAGCGGATTCATCCTTTGGGGTTTGCTTTGCCTTTGTTTTTAGTTCACTGGGCGACCACACAATTTTTCAAGTATTTCTCTTCTAACTCTCCAAGGCTAATGAACATGAAATAGACTGATCATACAATTAAAGTCAATCTGACGTATCCTCCTACGTATTTTGCAGCAGCCTCAGTGGTAATTCTAGGTTCCGCCTCATGAGAGCTTCCCCTCACTCCATCTCTCCCTGCACCCCACCGAGGGGAGCTCACAGCCTTCTCATCAACAGGCCTACCGCGCTTAGATGCACCTCTACAGCCACCTACCACGTCTTCTGATGCTGTTCATGCTACTCGCTCCCCCTACAGGTGACCATCCTATTGGGAAGAAGGTCCCTCCAGACGTGGCACAACGCCGGGTGCATAACCAGTACCCAGTACATATTTATTGAAGTATCAGTAATGCAACAAATTTGTATCTGTTGAGAATCTGATAGAAATCATTTCTTTGCACTGCCACACCTGCCCCTACCTTGAATTTACAAACCTTTCATGAATCAAATGTAAACTATTCCAACTGAGTATTTACTAGAGGGGTGGCTAGCCTACATAAGGGAGCTCTGAATAGAAAAACGGCTGCTTATACAGTTTCAAAATAGTTCCCAGCTGTGAAACCTGTTCCAGTTTACCCTGGTTTGCTTTTCTTCCCAATGCTTTCCAGCATGTGACATTCTGTATATTTAACTTATTTCTGCTGTTTCCCCTCACCAGCGGTAAGCTGGTATTTTGGTCTGTTTCACTGCTGTATCCCTGTGCCTAGAATAGTGCCCAGGATATGCCAGGTGTTAAAAAGACAGGTGTTAGATGACTGAATACTGAGGGAAAGAATGGAATAATACGCAACTCTTAAAGGATTTAAGGGTTCTGTTAATGTGGTCAGTAGTTTAATTAAAACTTTTTTGTTGTTGTCTTTTTGAGACACGGTCTCGCTATGCAGTTCAGGCTGGCCTTGAACTCCCTTACGTAGCCCAGGCTGGCCTCAAACTCAGAATGTTACTCCTGCCTCAGCCTCCAGAGTGCTGGGATTATAGGCGTGTGCTACCACGCTTAGCTATAAAAATGTTTTCTGTAATGGTGCGTGTAAGTATGCCTAAATGGTATAGGATGACAAAAAAATCAGAGGCGGTGCTCAAAAATATATACAAATAAGTGAAAATATGCTAGAAGGTTTGACTACTTCTAATAGGCAAAAGTGCCATAGGATGGCACCTTTAATTCAGAATCTTGATGTGTTTCTGAAATAGTTGTCACACTACCTTGACCTTCAGAAAGGGGAGCGTGTGGTTCAAGGCTGACGAGGAGGCGAGCTCTGTACTGACTGAGGGGGAGCCTCTCCTTGCTGGACGCAGGGCTCAACAATGTGAGGAGCACAATAATAAAGTGTTACCATCTTCGGCAGCGCCAGAAAACTGTGGCCTGCTTTTTTGTTGCCCAAGCTTAAGAATTTTTAAAGGAGAGGGAGAGAGAAAGAGAGTGAGGGGAGAGAAAGAGAGAGGAAGGAAGAAAAGAAGGAAGGAAAGAAAGAAGGGAGGAAGGAAGG